CCTGCGCCCAGGATCGCACCGCCCCCACCACCTGTGGCTCCCCCTGCCCCCCAGGCGCCCCCTGTGCACCTCTGAGGTTCACTTACCTTTGCCTGGAGCCTCTCCCCTTCCCTCCCAGTCTCAGCCGCCGCATCCCCACCCACTCCCTCACTCCCCACCCTCGAGTCTGCCGGCCTGGGACCTGGTGTGCCCGGGCTGGGTAGAGGGCCCCAGGGAGGTTGCCCACCAAGCCTCTCCTGGCCTGATCTCACCACAGTGGGCTCACCCTGGGGCTGCGGAGGGCGGGCGGTTCCTGCAAGGCTGTGGCTGGGGGTGGGTGGGGAGAGCAGAACACAGAGGGAGCAGGAGCCAATGCGTGCGAGGGGGGCACTGGCGGTGGCGTTGGGGTCTGCCACTCTGGGGAGAGGAGGCACCCCTGGTGGGAAGATTCAGGCAGAGCAGGTGCTTTGCGCTGGGAGGGGAGGGGAGGGGAGGGGGAGGAGGGGGTGCCGTCCCTGGCCACTGGAAATGGAGCACCCACTCCTCCAGGTCTGGGCACCTGTGCTCTGGAGCCCTCCTGCCCCCTCCCCAGAGGGAGCACATGCCCTGGAAGTCCACCTGGGTGCTACCTCCTCACCCCCCAGGACCCCCCCCCCCGCCCCCGCCAGGGACCAGGGTGCCCTCCCCTGCTCACCTGGCTGGCCCGCTGCCCTGGCCAGCCCGCCAGCCTGGGGCCCTCAGCAAGGGTGAGAGCCAGGAGCTGGCCCTGCCCAGAGTTTGAGGCGGTTCTTGCCGCAGCTCAGACTCTTCTGAAAACAGGTTCCCGGGGCGGCCGGCCCCTTCGGGGAAGGACTGGGAGCCTCCCAGGCAGCAGGAGGTGGGTAGCCCCAATGACCATGACCCGCCATCGGCTCCTGGTGAAGTAATGACCTAGATTCCCGGTGCCGTGTGCCGGAGCAGAAGGTAGTGCGGGAACGTCCTGGGGGTGCAGACCCTGCCGAGCCCCCCATGAGGAAGGGATCTGGGCCCTGACCTCAGGCTGCCTTAGGACAGATGGAGCATGTGGGGGGCAGGAGGGCAGGAGCCACGGGCTGCCCTCCGGGGCGGGGGCAGGCTGTCATCAGCTCGCCCTCTACAAGTTGGAGCAGAGGTTGGAAACTCCTCCTGGAGGAGGCGGGGGCCTCCTCTTAGCCTAGCTGTCCCCACATTTGCCCTCATGGGGCGGGGGGGGGGGGGGGCGGGGGGGGGCAGCGCCTGCGAATCTGCTACCTCCCAGGTGAAGCGTGGGCTCTCCATGCCGAGTGGAGGATGCGGCTGACTTCGTCAGGGGCCAGCCTGGGCGGGGCTGGGGGGTGGGCACAGGCCGGACCTCACTCTGGCATGGAGTGCTGAAGCACTGAGGCCCATCTCTGTGCCCAGGACCCTGGGAAGGCTCTGCCCACTTCTCCAAGGAGCTCTGGGCAGGTACCTTTCCTGACATTGGGGAGGAGATGCTGGGCTGTTTGGGGCAGGCGAGTGGCAGCAATTCTGGAGAACCCACTGTGTGCCGCCACTGCAGGCAGCATCCTGCACACCTGAGCGTGTTGAATCTGTTCAGCGAAATTGCATATTATAGGATCACCTGTTACAGGAAGCCAGGGCTCAGAGAAGGGGCATGACTACCCAGGATCGCTGGGGCAGTGCGGTGGGTATACTGGGGCAGGGGATGGAGGGACCGCTGTGTTCCCTGTGCCACATGAGTGGGTTGGGCGCTCCCTTCCTGGTGGGAGGTCTGAGTCAGCCCCCAGCATTGGTTCATGGTCAGTTCCACAGCCCCTCCCCCCCATTGAATCCCCCATCCACAGGAGAAGGGGTCTCAGAGACAATTTTTCCATGAGCGTGTAATTTCTGTGACTAAAATGGCAACTTCTGAATAATGGCCCTTGTGCAATAATGTTCTAAGAGGCAGACTCAGTAACAGTGGCCTAATTTTGTTCTGCATCGCTCTTGAGTCTAACCAGGAGGTGGGGTGTTTGGGAGGGTGGCGGTGGGGGGGCTGGCAGTCTGCTCTGCCCACTTTGGGTTCTGGGCGGCCTGGGCACCTGGCAGCAGCCTCAGAGGATCCCTGAGCTGCTGAGAGCTTCGTGAAGACAAGATGTGTATCTGATTGAGAACCAAAGGCACACTCAGCCATAGCAGCCTGGAGACCCAGACCCCAGATACATCTGAGCCCCGCACCCCCCGACAGGGTGAACAGAACACCTTTGGGGGGCTCCTTCTCCCCACAGCGCCCCGTTTGGTCCCATGTAGAATGGGCTCAAAGCCCCTTGGGTATTTCTTTTAAATGTGAGGAGGGGCCCTTTGTGCCAGGCATGGGGAGCCAACCTCAGCAGGCTGAGTCCCTTCTTACAGGAGCGTGCCTTAGGCAGCCCTGAGAGTCTGAAAGACCCTCCTCCCAGGCGGGCACACCCCGGGGAAGTGTGGGCTCCCCCCACCTGGCAGCACCCTCTGACGGAGGGCTCGGAGCACCGCCCAAGGGACCCCTTTGTCTTGAAACGCAGTTGTCCCCAAACATCATACTTTTGCCCTTTTTGCATAGAGTTTTGGTCACATGCTTCCCACCAGGACACAACACACAGCAAGGGGTGCTTAGCGCCAGGAGCAGCCAATCCAGCAAAACACAGAAAATGTCTCTCTCCCCTCGTGGTGAGGGATTCGGGTGACACTTCCCTCTCCCGCCAGCTCCTGTGGCCCCTGAGCCACACAGCCCTCCTGGTCCTCACGCCTCGAGGTTTCCTCTTGCCTCCCTATGGGCGTTCTTCAGGATTTTCTCCTTCTCCTTAATGCTCTGACACTATCTTACACTTACTTTATTCTGTTCCCGACAGGTCTGTGCTTCTGAGCAGGACTCTTGCCTTTGGTCAGTTCCACAGGGGCCCAGCCATCCTCTGAATGATGGGCCTGTGCACGCCCCCCAGGGCTCAGAGCCCTCTGCCATCGCCTCCCACTGCACCACGTCCTGAAGAACTCCCTCAGCTCCTCTCCGATTCCCCGATTCTCTCTTCAACTGTGTCCAGACTGGATACACTTTTTTCCCCCCCAAAACGATGATTTTCCACATCCAAGAGTTGTCATTTTCAAGAACATACCTAGCACACTTGTTCATTTGCTTCTTAACCGGAAGCCACATTTGTTTCACAATATGTTTATCCAGGCCTCATGGAGGATCCTACACATGTCAAACACAGTTTGGACATGATTATTCAGTCATAGTATTATTATTTCACCTGAAATGAATCTGCTGGGCCAGCTTCCCCCTGTTGATCTTCTAGGTCATGCTTCCTGGTGTCGGTCAGCCAAGTGGACTTGGCAAAGCTAGTGTGCTGCCCACGAGAGAACAGGGTTTCTTTCTGTCGTTGTCTATGTTAATTATCCTGGGCTTGCCCTGCCCCCAACACTTGTCTATCAGATTTCAGCCGCCTCCCCAAACTCAGAACCAGCAGCTGCTGGGCGCATCCTCTGTTCTGAGGTGACTCGGGGGCACTGGGCTAGCTGAGCAAGGCTCCAGGGGGCTGCTGGGCCTGAGCGGCCCTGTCTGGGTCATCATGGCCCTTTTCCAGCCCCTTTCGGGGTCTTGTCCGGTCCCCACTAACTCCCCATCCCTTGGGGGCCTGAGACATCCGCTATACCTGTGTCCCCTTTCTCCTTTCCCTCTTGTCAATGGAGGTGTTTATTTTGTCATCATCACCATTGTTGTGAACTACCCTAAACACACAGAAAAACACAGAAACTCTACAACAGACAGCACGCGCTGATCACCTTGAGCGGCAGGGGCTCATGTTCCCCGTCTTTGCCTCAGCTCTTTTCCTACAAAACCCATCACACAGCTGAAGTCTTTCCTTCCACGCAGTCTCCCCGAATCGCCCCCTTTCACACTCTCTCTCCCTGTTCGCTCTCTCTGTCTTCTCCTTTACACACATGTGCCTTGCGCGCCCACACATGCATTTCCTCCTGCCCTGCGGCACAAGCCATCATTAGCGGTATTTACTAGTACTCTGTTCACTGTGTGTTCCCTATTTACAACGTGTGTGTGTGTGTGTGGGGGGGGGGGGGGTCCGTTCTGCCTGCTCCAGCATGGCGGCCTCTGCCTGAGGCTGAGGCAACGCTGCCATTGCCGTGGAGGTGATGGGCCCACCACAGAGCATGCGGAGTGTGGCCCTCGCGGCCGCGATGCTAGCACATTGTACAGCGGTTTCTCGGGTCATTTCCTTCGCAGAGTGACGTCCGTGCTGCAGCGAGTGGCAGCTGTGGGGGCAGGGAAACCAACTCCTCTTGGGCCGCGGTGGCACGGATGCCGCTTACCAGAGGACAGTGTTCCTGGGAGCCAGGTGGATGCTGGCAAAACCTCTGCAGCCCGAGGTCTGGCTTCTTGGCCACAGGCGAGGCCTGGCACCCTCCTGATGGTCACAGGAGGTCACCCAGAGTTCAGCTTTGGGGTCACCCTGGAGAGTAGGGCTCGGCAGGCGTTGGTGCACTTCCAGGTGGCACCGGTTGGGTGTGAGGGACTTGCCGTGCCCAGCCGATGTCTGGGCTGGCTAATTACTCCCTCTGTCCCTGAAAGTCCTCGAGGAGGTGACACCTGCCATACTCAGCCCTTACCTGTGAGGTGGGGTCGTGGTGCTGCTGCAGGGAGAGGGGCTGGCCTCAGACTCCGGGAACCATCCAGGGACGTGGGGGCGTAGGGGTGGTGAGGTCTCTGCGAGTCATTGCAGTTTCATCGGACGACATGTCAATGTCTCCGCTCACGGCAGCTATCTCCCTGCTCCTTCCTCTCCCGGCTTGTTTTCCAAACAATTTGCTTAATGTGATTCCCAGCCAAGTTGAACATGAGTAATCGTGTTTACCCTGCGGCGTGGGGTAATCCTGCGCCTCCTGGGGCAGGCGGGCGGGGCCGGGGGGAGGAAGGGCCTGGCTGTCCGATTAATTGCCAGCATCCTTCCTTCTGCTCCTGCAGAGAGGACAGTCCCCTGCCCTTGGTGGCGATGGAGCCGCTGTTCCCCACCTCCAGACCGGCCGGCTGGAACACCTCAGCGGCCACCAGCGGCGGCGGGGAGAACGGGACGATGGCGGGGCCCGCGTCCTCGCCGGGGGCCCGAGCGGTGGTGGTGCCGGTGCTCTACCTGCTGGTGTGCGTGGTGGGGCTGGGCGGCAACGCGCTGGTCATCTACGTGGTGCTGCGCCACGCCAAGATGAAGACCGTCACCAACATCTACATCCTCAACCTGGCGGTGGCCGACGTGCTCCTCATGCTGGGCCTGCCCTTCCTGGCCACACAGAACGCCGTCTCCTACTGGCCCTTTGGCCCCGTGCTGTGCCGCCTGGTGATGACGCTGGACGGCATCAACCAGTTCACCAGCATCTTCTGCCTGACCATCATGAGCGTGGACCGCTACCTGGCCGTGGTGCACCCCATCCGCTCCACGCAGTGGCGCCGCCCACGGGTGGCCAAGCTGGCCAGCGCCGCGGTCTGGGCCTTCTCGCTGCTCATGTCTCTGCCCCTGGTGGTCTTCGCGGACATCCAGGAGGGCTGGGACACCTGCAACCTCAGCTGGCCGGAGCCCGTGGGCCTGTGGGGCGCCGTCTTCATCATCTACACGTCCGTCCTGGGCTTCTTCGGGCCGCTGCTGGTCATCTGCCTGTGCTACCTGCTCATCGTGGTGAAGGTGAAGGCGTCCGGCGTGCGTGTGGGCTCCACGCGGCGGCGCTCGGAGCGCAAGGTGACACGCATGGTGGTGGTGGTGGTGCTGGTGTTCGTGGGCTGCTGGCTGCCCTTCTTCATCATCAACATCGTCAACCTGGCCATCGTCCTGCCCGAGGAGCCCGCCGCCGCGGGTGTCTACTTCTTCGTCGTCATCCTGTCCTACGCCAACAGCTGTGCCAACCCTGTGCTCTATGGCTTCCTCTCTGACAACTTCCGCCAGAGCTTCCGGAAGGTTCTGTGCTTCCGAAAGGGCTATGGCACCGAGGACGTGGATGCCACGGAGCCGCGGCCCGACAAGAGCAGCCGGCTACAGGAGGCCACGCTGGCTGCATGCAGCTCAGAGGCCAACGGGCTCATGCAGACCAGTAGGTTGTGAGGGGTGCTGATGGGCCAAGCCCGGCACCCCTGCCCCACCTGGTCTGGGTTTCCTGCTGGGCCGAGCCCTTCCCTGAGATTCAGGGACCTGCTGAGGTGCTCCCCAGCAGCCTAAATACTCTCCGAGGAGTGAGGGCAGCTGTCTGGAATGAGGCTGTGGGTGGTCCTGCCGTGACAAGCTGTCACTCCACCTGTCCATTCTTGTTGGGCAAGCTGGGGTCACGGGGCCTGAGGGGGTGGGTGGCAGAGGCCCAGGGGTTCCAGGCAATGGTCAGGGCATCTCGACCCTCTGGTCTTGCCCCAGGCTGTGTCAGCCTCCCAGGCCAGGGGAGTGGTCATGAGTGTGAGAGGGTGATACCTCCCCCCCCTGCAGCCGCCACCCTCTTGTCAGCCCAGTGCCACCTGGTCAGCCACCTGGTCAGCGTCAAGTGCTACACCATGAAATTAAAGACTCCGCTGTGCTGGCTTCTGGCCTGTGCCCCCCCCCCCCCCCCCCGCCCTGGCTCCCGGCTTCTAGGAGCTTGTTGACGTTGGACATGGCAGGTGTGAAGAACAGAAGCTGCAAATGCCCCAGGCAGTGACAAAGGGTGATGGATGCCAGAGGAGACTGCAGCTGGCCCACCCCTGCTGCTGCACCTCCCTTCCTGCTACCCACAGTCCCCTGGGGGCAGCAAGGGGCGGAGCCATAGCTCCCATGGTGGGGTTGGGTGGGGAAGGCTGCAAGTACAGAGGGAGAGGGAGGAGCCGAGGTTGGGGGTGCACTGTTTGCCCCCAGGTTTCTGGGTTTGTGGGTGGGGGCACAGGTGTCCAGAGGGGCTCAGTGCAGGTCACTGGGAGGGGCTGTCCTGGAGTAGACACCCTGCACTGAGGGGCCAGTGAGGACAGGGAGCCTCTAGCTCTCTCTCCTGCTCACAGCAGGGGCTTTGGGCTGGAGAGGCAGGGGATGAAAGCAGAAGAGGAGAAATATCCAGACAGCAGTGCAGGGAGCGGCCTCTCAGTGCAAATAGCAGCCGGCGGAGAAAGGCTGTGTGGGTAGATGCAAATGCCAGCAAATGCCAGGCCCCTGAGGAATTCCGCATCCCCCAGACTAGAGTGGCCCCATCGACCCTCCAGAAGTACCAGCAATTCCCCCTACTCAGGCCCACACGGGTCCCAGAGAGGACTGCCCGAGCCTTGCTGGGGTCCTGGTGCCGTTGGCCTCTATCCAAGGCTGGAAGGAGAAGGACCAGGGTACAGGGCTGACTCAACCAGCAGACCCCCTGCCTGGGACAGCCCTGGCCAGTGCCACCTCACTCGAGCTTCTGTCAGCCCAGAGCAGGAACCCAACCTCAGGAGGGCACAAGGGGCAGGGGGAGCTGTGCTGGGCAGGGAAAGGCCAGACAGCTCTGCTGGGCCTCCCCACCGACCACACCGATCCCAGACAGAGGCCAAACCCTGGAAACACGGCGGTGTAATGAGGGCGCTGGTGTTTGACAACCAGTCTCCTGAATAAATTAGAGAATAAAGGTTTGACTCTTTCCCAAAGCAAATATTGTGGCCGGAGCCAAGAAGCCAATGCAAATCAGAGCTCGTGGATCGGAGGAGGCAGGACGGGGGTGGGCAAACACCAGCCAGAAGTGATCAGTGGGCACTTAGATGATGCCATCGTGGAAGGTGTAAACAATAGGGATTAAAAGAATTGATGGGCCTTTGCCTTGGGCTGGGCAGGGGCAGCCCCTCTCACTTCCTGGGAGGGGGGCGGGGATCTGAATTGGGCCTCTAAGGGTGGGGGCTGGGGGTCAGCTCCTTCATGGTTGTTGGGTGTGGGGACCTGCCCGCCTTGAGGGACCCAGGCTGAGTCTCCCCCACTCCTGGGCTCAGTTCCAAGGAGTGGGGGCGGCTCCTCCATGTGGGGTCCACAGAGCCTGGGATTGGAATCACTGGGAGCTGGTGGCCAAACCCACCATCACCCACTCTAGGGACCGGCATCCCGGGGAGGGGTGGGTGCCCCAGGAGAAACTGAGGCCAGCCCAACCTGCCGTCCCCACCCCATGATCAGGCCTCCCTGGGATCAAAATGACTCTGGGAGTGAGCAGATGGCTCGGAAATCTTGCCCCGATCAATTTCCCCCAATTGATTCAACTGCACGAGCTCCCTCCCCAAGGCCATGCCAGCTGAGAGCACCATGTGGGGTGTACAGATGCCAGCAGCACCCTGATCTGTTCCTGCCTGAGGGAGGGGGGTGTGAGTGTGTGTATGTGTGTGTTTGTGCCTGGGGCCTGATGGACCCAGGGTGGGGAGCCTGTGGAATGTTCCAGGGGGTTCCGGGCAGCCTGTGGACACCGGGTCTGTGGGAGTGAGGAGAGGCTTGGCTAGTGTGGACAGTTGCAGGTGCCTGGGTGAGGGTGGGCCACTGAGTGGGAGGGAATGAGGACCCTGCCCCAGGGCTGCGAGGGGCAGAGCAGGAGTGCCCCAGGGGAGCATGAGCCCTGGGAGCTGGTGGGAGCCCTGCTGCCCTCCCTCACCCAGCACAGGCTGCGGACGGAGCCACACTGCTTGCAGGTCCTGGCTCCAGCCCTGAGTGGGGTGGGGGTGGCACAGAGCACGTACCCTCTGGGGAGTTTGACCTGTTTTATGGGCTCTCTCTCTGCATCGATGGGTTTTATTGGCCAATGGGCTCCAGTAGCTTCCACAATGACCTTGCTCAGGAAATCCGGCTGCCTCGGGGGTGGGGTGCAGAGCAGGAGGGCTCTGTTTGCCTGGCGGGGCTGGGCACAGGGTGGGCGTGTGGTGCGACGGCAGCATAGCCCCGCACACAGAGCAGGTGTTGCATCCCCACCATGAGGGAAACCAAGGTCGATCTGCCCTGTGGTTAACCGAGGCTGCACTCCGGCCCAACCCCTATCAGCAGGAGCTATGTCGGGGTGCCCCGGGTGGGGTCCAGGGCAGAACAACAAGCGGAGGAAGGGGAGACATCAGGAAGGACTTGCCACAGGAACCCAGGGCCACGGAGATCAGTAATGTCCTTGGGGGGTGCCCTAGCGACTGAAAGATACTGATCAGGGCTCCCGCAGAACCGCGAGCCCAGGGCTGGATGGAGATGAGGACCTGGAGAGAGCTGGATCCATGACCCACCACCCCTCCTCCACGTTGGCTGCTGAGGTCGAGGGGTCCTCCCCAAGCCCCCCCCCACCTCCTCTCCATCAGGCCCATGGGCACTGTCCTGCCCTGTATAGGCGGGCCGATGCCATCCCCCAGCTCCTGAGGGCTGGTCCAGCTACCACAGCTCTGAAAGGTGTTTGTTGAATGAATAACTGACATTGAATGAAGGGGTCTCTGCCCAGATGGGGACCTTACCTTGAGGGTCCTAGACTGCCCAGGAGCCTGAGGGGGTGCCCCCCGCCCCTCCTTGTCCTGGGACACTCATGACACTCCAGGCACCTTGCTCCCCCTGTGCCTGGCCCTTCTTCTCCCCTCCTTCAGGCTGTGTGTCTGGAGATGCGGTGGCAGCTATAAATTTGCCAGATTTGTGCTGGTGGAGGTCTGAGTGCGCCATTTGGGCGCCTGGATGGGTCCCAAAGTTGGGGGAGGGCAGGGGCTCCACCTGAGCAAACCTCCCTCCTATGACCCCTGCCTTGGGGGCGATCAGAGGATCTCTTCCTTGATATTTGGGGGAGGGGTTATGGAGTGACTGCTAATGGGGTCCCGGGTTTCTTTGGGGATCATGAGAATATTCTAGATGTAGATAGAGCTGGTAGTTACACAACACTGTGAAAGTGCAAAATGCCATTAAGTTGTTCACTTTAAAATGGTAACTTTTATTATATGAATTTCACCTAAATTTTGTAAATGGATGTTTTATTGGAATTCCGCTAAAGGAAGAGACCTAGTATGGGTAATTGGCTCCCGGACAGGATCCTGTCTCTCAAGAGGTCGCCGGGCTGTCCCGGTATTCGAGTGTTTTTCCGGCTTTTTTCCTTCGGCGCATGCGTGTCGTTCCTGATTGCGACCGAAGCACACCGTGGGGGCTGCCCGCTGGCTGTTCTGATTGGGGTCAACTCCTCGTTCGTCTTCTAGGTGTCAGGGCAGCTGGGCCCGTTGACCTTTGTGTCTCTGGGCCCTTCATCACTTCCCAGAGATGGTGACCTTGACCCCTCCGGCCCCACCCTGCCCCCAGTTCTCAGTCCTTTTTTATTTGTTTGTTTGTTTGTTTTGTAATAAATAAACCTGGAGGCTGTGGGGTGACGCAGGCACTGCCTTCTCATCCTAGACTCACGGGCAGTGCCCTCTGGCAGGTTCCCTGACAAGCACTGAGGCTCTCGGTGGGGTCTTGGCCTCGCTCGGGACAGGCCTCTACACCCCCGGGTCTCTGAGGACGTGGTTGCTTTGGCACTTGGAGGTTGTCAGGCGCCCTTCCTCGCCTGACCTACTCTGCCCTCCTGCGTCAGCAGCGGAGCAGGGCCTGTCCCTCAATGCTCGGCCCGGATGCCCCAGTGTCCACCTGTCCGGCTGCTCTAACAGCCGGATTCACGCCATGAGGTTCAAAGGAGGTAGCGTGGCTGCCAGGCCTGCAGACTTCTCCTGCCCCACAACGGCCGCTTGTGGCCCTGCCTCTAGACCCCACCTCTGCTGCTCTGGGGCCCTGGCATGGCCCTCAGCAGGCGGCTGGAGAGAACACAGGCTTCGTTTGCAGCTGGCAGACAGGGGCTTCCCTCCCGGCCCCTCCTGGCCAGGCTGGCCCCCAACACACAGCGGGTCTGGGGTTCCTGGTCAGGGTGGGAGGGGAGTGCAGGTGCCAGGAGGCCTGCGGGAGGCGGGATCCTTCCAATCCCCCCACAGGCCCCCATTCCTGCTCAGGCACCTTTATCTCACAGCAGAACCCTGTCTGCCACCCTGTCCCCCATGAGTACTCGCTCCTGATGTGCCCACAGGTTGCCAAGCACCCCGGGCGTTTCCAGCGATTCCAGCCATAAAAGGACACAAAGTCCAGCCTGAGGCTCGGCAACTCCGGCCCAGGGGCCCCGCAGCCCCTGCGGCCCCTCCTGTAGTGGGGCCATAGCTGCAGCAGCCCATGAGGTTCTGCCCTTCATCCTTGACTGTAAGAATCTCCCCAACCCCCCAATTTTGTTGTTGCCTGCCATGTACCATGGCAGGGTCTGGTCCAGCCTTGGGTTCCCAGGCCAGGGGTCCTCTTTGAGCCCCTTGAGGGGCTGGGTCTCCAGGCACAGGCACTTGTCTGTCCCGACCTCTGTATCTGTGACTTTTCAAGGCAGAGTCCTGTTTTGTCTGAACCCAGGGCCCAGCAGGGGGCCCAGACTGGCAATAAGGGTCTGAAGTCACCGCCCCACCCAGGCCTGCTTCCTTATGGAGCTGTAGGGCCTGAATGTGGGGACCCCAGGAGCCCCTGCCCTCCTCACCCATCGGTAGGCCAGAAGGGACACATGGGGCAGGCCCCCTGGTGTGCTGAGGGGGGCCCGCTGCTCCGGAGGCTGCAGGCCTGGGCTTCGGGGGGTGGCTGGCAGGGAGCCCTCCACTTTCAGACAGCCCTTGCATGGACAGCAAAGGGGGCCCTCCTCTCGCTCATGCCCTGTTCAGGCCGCTCTTAGGGGGGACAGTCCAGCCGATAGAGTGCCAGCTCCCAGTGCCGCATACACCTGGGGGTTCTGCAGACCCCTGCCGGCCTCCGTTTCCCCACTTGTCTAGCCTTTGTGACCCCGTCCCTCCCTCGGCGCTCCCCCGGGTGGTGGGGAGGTCCCTGTCAGCCTCAGCTGGAGGTTGATGGTCCTGTGGGATAACAGAGCTCCACAGCGGCAGGGGAGGGCCTCCGTGTTCCCACACATCCCCTCCCCAGAGCAGGGGCAGGAGGTGCCTGTTTATAAAAGGGATGAGGGGTCCCCACCCTCTTCTTGCCTCTACCCCCGCCATCAGTTCATCATTGTCCTGAGAAGGTTCTCCAGCCCCAGGGCCGGATGGATGTGGGGTTCATCTTATAATGGGCTGGGGTCCTGATGGGAGGGGTGGAGGGAGAGGAGGACCAGCCAGGCTGCGCCCCAAAGGTGGATGAGGACTGAGGTAGGCCTGTGCCCACCCAGCAGCCAAGAGGCCCCAGGCCACCTGGCAGGCAGCCTGCTCCTGGTGCACCCTTGGGAGAGAGGGCCCTGGGGCTCTCAGCAGCCACCTTCTACCGCCTCCTGTAGCCCAGCTGGTGGCCTCGGAGCCTCCTTCTATGAGGCCCCGGCATCTCCTGCTCAGCCGGCCAGCCTGCAACTCCAGCCACCTCCACGTACTCAGGACCTCAGCCAGCTCACCAGGCTCTGGTGATTCCAGACGAGGCTCCTGCCAGGGTCCTGGAGGCCTCATTCCCCCAGAATCCTTGCTCAGGAGGAAGCAGCCACTGGAGGAGACGCCAGGGAAGGCCCCATGGAGGAGGCAGCAGTGATGGGGTCAGAGGGCTGGGCAGAAGGTTCTGCGTGGCCAGGGGGACACATGGCAGGAGAGAAGCAGACTCAGAGGGGGCTATAAGGTGGGGCAGCCTGATGGCTCCAACCTGGGGGATGGATTGAGGCCTTCTGTTCCCCCAGCCCAGTGGTCGGCAAACTCATTATCAACAGAGCCAAATATCAACAGTACAACGATTGAAATTTCTTTAGAGAGCCAAATTTTTTAAACTTAAACTATATAGGTAGGTGCATTGTTATTAACTTAATTAGGGTACTCCTAAGGCTTAGGGAGAGCCACACTGAAGGGGCCAAAGAGCCGCATGTGGCTCGTGAGCCGCAGTTTGCCGACCACTGCCCTAGGCCCATGCCTGCAGGGAGTAGGTGTGACTGCTCCATCACTGCCCCGCCCCAACTTCAGCCACATCTAAGGGTGAGGGGTGGGGCTCCCTGGGCTCCTGCAGGCCCTGGTACACATCGAGGTGTGGTCTTCCTCCACCATCCAGCTCATTCCAGACAAACGAGGGGATGCCGGGAACCCCAGAAAATCAGCTCACCAGACGTGGACTGCTGTTCACCTGAGGGCATGACTCTCGCTCCCAGCCGAATTGCCACCCTCTAACACCCATGGAATTAGCATGTTTCCTGCTAGAATCAGCTCCGTGAGGGCTGACGTCTGCATTTGCTCTCTGGACTCCCCTGTGTCCAGCCCGGCACCCAGTAGGTGTTTTACGAATGTCTCCAAGGCAGTGGTGCTGGCACAGCCTTTAATAAGCAAAATATCGCTTGACCAGGAGGCAAACGCCACAGCATGTAGAGACGCCCCGCCCACCCTGCCCAACACCCACTCCCACAGTCTCCATCTCAATTTCTCAGTGTGAACACTTGGTGTCCCCACCCCCACCAGGCCAGGCCCCCAGACCTGTCTTGCTCCTGCCACACCCCTCAGCTCAGCGTCTGCATGCAACTGGTGTTCAATCACTACACAGTCATCGCGCGAACATACTGGCGTCCACCTCAGCTGCGAGGGCGAGGTCAGGCTCGGGGGGGAAGGGGGGGTCTGGGGAGTGAGTCCATCAAGCGCTAGAGCTCAGTGGCAGGCTTGACCAGGTGGCCGCTGAAGGTGATGTAGAGGTCGCCGTGCTCACCGTAGATGGCGTTGTCTTGGTCACGCTTGAACATGCGCACCCAGGCGGCGTCCCCTGCGGCCAGCGGCAGCAGCAGGCTCTGGGTCTGCATGACGCTGCGCTCGCTGGGCTGCGCGTACAGCACAGCTGTGGCCTGCTGGTTGCACATGATGTGCAGGTAGGTTTCCTTGTAATTCCAGGTGTGCACGGTGAGGCTCAGGAAGTACACACCAGGCACCGTGCAGAGGAAGCGGCCCGACGCCAGGTCGAAGGCGCCATCCAGGTTCACCAGCTCCGTGTCAAAGGGCACAGCCTGGAAGGCGTCGGTGCTGTGCAGCCCCTCGCGCCGACCGACCGAGAAGGCTGCGTAGGCACGCCGGCATGGGGTGCCCGGTAGCCCCACCTGCCCCTTCTGGCCCTTGTGGCCCCGGAGACCCGGGGAGCCCGGTGGGCCCTCCTTCCCACTCCTGCCGGAGCGGCCTCTGACCCCCGTCTCACCCTTCTCACCTGCAGGGGAGCAAGCAGAAGCCTCTGGTCAAGGCTTGGGGTCCCTTTGCTGGCCACGTGGCCTAGTGGGTGACCTCACTTCCCCGAACCTCATTCTCCTGATCGTACGATGGGTGTTAAACCCACTCCTCACACCGGGCAATGAGAGGCCGCACCCCAAAGTTGTGGCTGTTCTGGAGCCTGTACAGATGATCACATGGGGACGGAGGGACAGTGGGGATGATGGGGGTCCAGGCAGCTGAACTGGGCTTTGAAAGACGAGGAGGCTGGGAAATTGGTACCCAAGTCCAACCTTCTGGTGGCCTGCTGTCCACCCAGGAGGAGGCCCTCTTGAGCTCAGCCTCTCTTGCCTTCTCTCAAGGGGGCCCCAGCCCTCCCACCCCGTGGGTGCTGGGCTGGGAGGGCCCATGCAGAGTGGGTGAGCAAACTGAAGGGAACCTCAGTTTCCCCTCCCTTCACAGCCCCTCTCCAAGCACCTTGCTTCCCGCTTGAGGGGGTGGCTGGGGGCTGACAACCTTTACAAGGTTCCCACATGGGCCCCAGGTGCCTTCCCAGAACCACTCTGCTCAGTCAGGGCCTCAGAGCTCTGTCCTGCCCCTTCATTCCTCTGCCTCAGGGTGGTGTCCCTGTGCGGGCAGGGACCAGGGTGGGGCCACCTCTCTGTGACACTCACCTTTGAGGATTGAGATGTCGATGGTGGGCCGCACATGGGGCAGCTGCACCCACTTCTCCCCCTCACCCTCAGGGGTGTATGAGCCGGGGGCAGCCGGGGGCCAGGCCGGGCGGCAGCAGTGCACACATGGCCGATGGGGCTGCCCCAGCCTGGGCCAGGCCCCTGCAGGCAGCGCCAGGAGGAGCAGAAGGCCAGGGGCTGCCATCTGGGCTGGAGCCTAGGAGAAGGGTGAGGAGGGCATCTGAGAAAGAGATACCCAGTTGAACACCCAGAACCCACAGCAGCCGGCGGTGCCCCCTTGTCTGGGGAGCCAGCAGATGGGATCGGTGAGGGGTACACAGTTGGGGCCCTTGAGATGCCACAGTGGGCAGGACCAGAGTCTCCTTCTGCACCCGACAGAGGCCTGGCATGCCCTCCTCAGATTCTCAGCCCCCGCCCCTGACAGACATCATTCATAGTCCCCACACTCTTTCACCCAGACCTGGATGTGGCCTCAGAATCCTCCTCAAACAGCACCACCAGGGCCACCACCAATCTGAGGGCCTGCACGGGGGACAGCTCACACCGGCCCTTCCAGAGCCCCTGGCAAAGTGGCCCAGGCAGCCCAGCCCAGTCCAAGCTGGTATTGCTGGCTCCTTCTCAGGGTCTGCTCCCCCTGTACACCTCCACCCTCCCAGGGCCTTAACTCTGGGCTGTAGAAGGCACCCGAAGCGCCTGCAGCCGGGGAGTCCTGGTGCCCAAAGCCCCCATGGCTGGGGACCTTGCACCTGGCAGATGGCGGAGGTGGGGCTCTGACTCCACCCTCCAAAGCCCCCACCCTCCTGTGCGGGCAGAGCCCTGGGGGACTGGGGGCAGCTTTGAGGAAGCGCAGTTCCCCAGCCCCTGAGGCTGGGCCTGGGTCCTGGTTGGGAGGGGCCTGTGTGGGGCAGTTTCCTCCTGCTGCCTAGCGGGGCAGAGAGCAGCCCTCTAGCCCTAAGCCCCCAGGGGAGGGGAGGAGGGCTTGTTGGAAGGCTGCCCCATGTGGTCCCCCACTCTGTGATGGAGAAGTTGGTCTTTAACCCCCACCAGTCCTGGGCCTCCTGCCTCCTAACACCCTCCCCTAGGAAACCCTGCCCGACACCTGGCTTACCCGTGCCAGGTAGGGCACCGCCTCCTGGTTCAACCAGCAGCTGCTGGGGCCCCTGGGTGAGTCCCACAAGCACCTGGGCCTCAGTTCCCCCAGCAAGTGGGCCCTGGTCTCCCCAGAGGCTGCATCTGGGAAGCTCAGCCACAGGCAGGCGAGTGAGGTAAGGGTCTTCTCTCTTCTCTGTAGCCCGACCTTGCTGAGCAAAGACCCAGGCACCTTCCTCCAGGGAGCCCTCTGGGGCTGCATTCCAGTGTAAGGTCCTTCCTCTTTCTGAGACCCACTTTCAGGCTTAGCTTCCCTGGCAGATGGGACCCCCTTCTATCCACCCTCCCCTAGTGCCCAGGAGACCCTGACTAGCCCTCCCAGCCTCACTGGATCCTGCAAGACCCTCCTGGATTCCTCCCATGGAGGGACCGAACAGGAGTGGGTGTCTCCAGGGGACCCCACCCCGCCCCTCTGGCAGTCTGGGGTCTTGGGCATCCTAGCCACCTGGCCTGCCCAGAAGACAGCCTGGGCTGGAGCCTCCTTCTTGCTGGGGTCTCAGGGGGAGCACAGACCCCTGCAAGACCAGCCTGGGTTGGGCGGCTGTGAATATCCACCCTCCCCCATGCTCCCTGTTACCATTTCACCGTCGGTGCTGCTGCCTGCCTGGCTGCCTCCAGCGTCACTGCCCAGCAGCCGGTGAAAGAGCCCTTTCATGCCCGCACCAGGCGCCCACGGCTTCCCCTGGGCCATCCAAGACCAACAGGTCCTGGGCCAGCTTCAGAGCCTCTGCAGGAGCTCACGGGCCCTGCCGCCTGCCATCAGTCTGCCCCCCACCAGCTGACTACCTGCCGAAGGGTGTATAGCCTTGCCACAGGGGCTCCTGGGTCCTCCTGCCAGCCCTGTGCCCTCGTGTGGGTCTCGGGGTCGGGACGGGAACATTTGGAACTGACTGGTGGGTTGGGGGGTGGTGCCATGGGCTGGCTGCCTCCTCCATCTGGGGTGCAGTGACTTAGGGGAGAGTTGGGGAGGCCACAGCTGCAGCTGGGAGGAGACTGGTCAGAAGGCTTGGAGCCAACGTGGGCTGGGGCAGACCAGGGCCCTCCGGATAATGGTCACAGCCTTCCGTCTCTGGCTGGGAAGCGAGGTCTGGGGCTGGTGGATGGAGCCCAGGAGAGCAGCGTCTGGCCAGACCCATGGTGTTGGCCCCGGCCTCCCCTGCACCCTTCCAGGTCAAGGTGCCTAGCAGAGCGAGAAGCCTGCTGTGACAGAAGCTGTGTCCCTGTTATGCCCACTGGTGGGAATGACTCATAAGGCCCCCCAAGCAGTGGCGGGCAGGGCTGGGCCCACCGTGAGCCTAAAGCTGAGCCCACACCAGAGCCTGGCCTCATCCCTGCTTTGGGTCTGGACAGCTGGACACTGGGTCCAGGTGCAGAACCCTGCACCTTGGCCTCTGAACTTGGGGACATGCGATGCCTGGGAAGTGTACCCACACACACACCAAGCCGGCCACCTGTGGGCGAGGCACCAGCCGTGGCCTGGGAACCAGGCGGGCTGTGGGCGGCCAGGGCAGCTCACCCAGTCCTGCTGCTCCAGCCCTCCCCACTGATGACCAGGGAGGGGCAAGGATGGGGGAGGTTGAGGTTGAGGTTGAGGTGCCCCACCGGTTGGGGGCTTCTTGTGCAGGATGAGGATGAGTGTGGCTGGTGAGGGGTGCGGACGGGGCTACACCAGCTGGAGCTGGCTCCCAGACTGGCCCCACCCAAAGGAGAGGACAGCTCACTCCAGCAGGCCCAGGGACTCCCTTTGGGGACAGCTGTCTTCACCTGGAGGGTGGCACAGACAGAGGGGGTGTGAAGGCCCAAGGCCCTGAGCGATGGCTCGCCGCCCTCCCTGCAGCCCCTGCAGCCCCAGTGCCCGGTGGTTTGGCTCTGAGACTCGAGGCAGCTCAGCGGCGGCCTCAGGGTGGTGAGTGGCGTAGGCCAGTGGTTGGCAAACTGCAGCTTGTGAGCCACATGCGGCTCTATAGCCCCTTGAGTGTGGCTCTTCCACAAAATACCACGTGCGGACGTGCATGTACAGTGCGATTGAAACTTCATGCCCCATGCGCAGAAGTCGGTATTTTGTGAAAGAGCCACACTCAAGGGGCCAAAGAGCCGCATGTGGCTCGCGAGCCGCAGTTTGCCAACCACTGGCCTAGGCCCCTGCCTCTCATCACCCAGTCCCTGTGGAGTCGATGGGCCCAGGGCAGGCTTGGGGCTCTTCCCTGCCCACCCAAGTATGGCTTCTGAGGCTCCCAGAGAAAGGCGGGCGCTGGAGCTCTGCATCTGAGCCTTGATGTCCCCACCTGCAAATGGCACCAATGGGCTCAGAGAGGCCGGAGTGTACTAGATGGACATGGGTGAAGCCAGAGGCCTCACCACGCTGCAGGGCTGATGTCCCTCCCCGTGCCTCCTGCCGCCCACACCCTGACTCCAACAGGTGAGCAGCCCCCCAAAAGTGATGGGCATTCACTGTGAGTCCCCTTGGGGCAGGGCATGTGGGGGGTGGGCCTGGGCTGAGTCAGGCCCCTGCAACACGAGCTGGGGTGTGTGGCTGCAGCAGGCAGGCAGGCCAGGCTCTGAGCGGAGGGAGTCAGCAAGCACCAAGGGTGACTCAGCGGGTGGCAGGACGAGGACGAGGCTCCCGGACAGAAATAGCCATCGCTTGGACATGCTGCCCCGCATCTCCGTGACAACGAGAGGTGCCTGCGTGTTGTGGCCCCACGGGGTCAGCTGACCAGAGAGGGTCTGGGGGGTGCTGAATGCCTGCTGGAGGCAACTGGCCAGCCTGGGGTGACCTCGCTGTCTATCCCCACCCCAAGCCCCACAGAAAGCCTCGGGCATTCGATGTGTGGCCTGGAGCCATGGCTCAGCTCCAGGGCCTGGTCATTGGTCTCTACAAGGTGACAAAATTTCCAGCCTCACAGATGGCATCAGGGGACTACAGACAATGGAACCCAGCCAGACAGCACCCGCCCCCCCCGCCTCGGGACTCCGCCTGCCACCCTCCCTGCCTGGTGTCACCACCAGGCTGTAGAGCTAATGAGCTTCAAACAGCCCCCCTCACTTAGCTCCCATCAGCTGCCACCCTCCAGGAGGCAGGACAAGGCGACCCTCGGTGCTGATGGGGACATTGCCTTGGCCGTGGGTGATAATGGGGGTCTGAGTGGCAGCAGTTTGCACAGTTGGGAGTTATTATCTCCCGGCCTCTTAATGGACGTGTCCCTGAGAGTCCTGTGTATGAGCTGCCGCTGGGGAAGAGACAGCAGCCGGGGGTGGGGGGACATTGTGGGCACAGCAAGGGGGCTTCACTGCCACCACCCACTCCACAAAGTGCCTGGCCCTCCCTGGGGACTGCAGTTCTGCCCAGAGCCGTGGACACAGGGTCCAGGAGGCGTGGGACCAGGCGGGCAGCAGGGGCCCTGCAATTTCCTCACACCCACACCCACACCTGACACACTAGCTGGCTAAGGAGGGGGCTGGACAAGGAGACTGGCCCCCTAAAGGTGGCCGAGGTGGCTGGGCATGGAGGCTACCCACAGCCTTGACTTTCCCACTCCCAGCTCAGGGTCTGCCTCCCAGTGCCCACCCTGTGCCAGGAGGGGGTGGCAGGGGTTTTCCCAGGAGGTCACTGGCTGGCCTGGCCTGGCCGGGGGTTCCCCGGGGATGTTGAGCCACTGCGTGGATGCCCAAAGCCCCCTGCCGGAAGCCGGTCCATCCTTGCTGCTTGACACAGTCGCTGCAGGAAAGAAACATCTGCACAGCATATGTTTCAAGGGACCTGGCGTATATGGCATACTGTTCTTAATATGTTTGCTCCCCTTAGCGCTGTGTGTTTTAACCAAGGTCACCTCTCTGAGAAAGGTTGTTTCCTCAGGTAGGGATTTTTCCCTGAAGTCAGGGAGGGGATAAAACTCCTTAACTAAGTGCCAGGCGGGTAGTTAATCACTTTAACTACAAACAATCACGCTTAAGCTACATAATCTTTACTCCCTGGAATGGAGATAAGAAACGCCCTAACCTTTGCAATAGAAATTGACAGGATTAAAATCACTG